GTGTGTGTGTGTGTGTGTGTGTGTGTGTGTGTGCAGGGCAGCACAGGAGTCTGGGGACAATGGTCTCTAAAGTTCAGAGTCTGAAACTCGACACCAGCGTGTGGAGCAACGAGATCGTCCAGGTGAGACTCGGTGCGGGGCGGGGCCAGACTAAAACCTGACGGTTTGTTTACTTGCGTTCACTTGTGTGTTTACCCGTTTGTTCACTTGTTTGTTCACTTGTTTGTTTACCTGTTTGTTAACTTGTTTGTTTACCTGTTTGTGTACTTGTTTGTTCACTTGTATGTTTACGTGTTTTTTTTCCTGTTGTTTACTTGTTTATTTACTTGTTTGTTTACCTGTTTGTTGACGTGTTTGTTTACCTGATTGTTTATTTGTGTATTTACTTGAGTGTTTAATTGTTTACCTGCTTGTTTACCTGTTTGTTCACTTGTGTTTACTTGTTTGTTTACCTGTTGGTTTACTTGTTTACCTGTTGGTTTACTTGTTTACCTGTTGGTTTACTTGTTTACCTGTTGGTTTACCTGTTTCTCAGCTCTTCATCATGCTGGGGAACGACCGGGCCAATGATTTCTGGGCGGCCCGCCTGTCTGAGTCCGACGAGCTGGACTGCGACGCCTCGCCTGAGCAGAGGAGGGACTTCATCACCCAGAAGTACCGGGACGGCCGGTTCCGACTGGCCCACCCAGCGTTCGGCAGCCAGGAGGAGCTGCTGAAGGTCCGGCAGAGGCGGAGCCTCTCTTTGTCTCAGCGTGCATGGCGTCAAACACGTGGAACCCACGGCTCTCTGTCCCCCGCAGGTCCTGTGCACCGCCGTCTCGGAACAGACGCTGCTGAAAACAGTCACTCAGATCTTCTCAGAGGCGGAGTCGGCGTGCCTGGCCGGCCAATCAGACGGCTGCCAGCGAGGACACAAACACCCGGACCACCTCAGCTCCTCAGGTGAGGTCTCTGTCCTCAGTCGTCACAAATATCGTCCCGCGGTGTGTCACTTCTGGACTTTGTCCCTCAGATCCCAGCGTCTACGATGAAATCATGCAGCCCGTCCTCCACTCCGGGTTCCTCTACAAGGCCTCGTCCGTCAACAGAGGAACCATGACTCGGAAGACACGGGAAGGTGGGTGGAGTCTGTGCTGCTTCTGTGGGAGGAGCCTGGTTCCGTTGTTACGCTGGAACATGACTCTGCTCTCCGCTCCTTCTGGCAGACTTCCAGAAGTTCTGGTGCACGGTGGACCAGTATCTGCTCCTGTACGAGTCGGACCGGTCCTCAGAACCCTGCGTGCAGATCAGCGTTAAAAACATTGTCTGTGTGGGCGTGAGTCGGCCCGATACGTCCAGCAACAACAACGGATTCATCGACAGGTTTGGGTTCTATGGGATAAATCTTGTGCCAACAGAAACTGAATTTGAATTGCTCGAATTGAATCTGAATGTGCAGAATTTGAAACTGAATTTAAAGTTTTGTATCTGAATTAATTTGCTTTGAAACTGTATTTTGGTTTATTAAAAATTCAGTTTGACTACTTTCACTTTCACTTTCGTAATTCAGATTTTTGTGTCACATCCTGGTCCTTGAGAAAGCCAGGCAGAGTAATCAAACACAGATCCACAGATTTATGTTTCACTTTGGTGAAGTTTCCCTTCTGGATGTAACAGAGTTGATGCAATCCACTGTAAAAGTGACAAAAACACACAAAGTTATTTTATTGCAGTGATTAATTTGACCTATGTGTAGAAAATGTTACGCATCAACTCTGTTACATACAGAAGAGAAACTTCACCAAAGTGAAACATAAATCTGTGGATCTGTGTTTGATTACTCTGCCTGGCTTTCTCAAGGACCAGGATGTGACACAAAAATCTGAATTATGGAACTGAAAGTGAAAGTAGTCAAAATGAATTTTTAATAAACCAAAATACAGTTTCAAAACAAATTAATTCAGGTTTCAAATCATTAAATTCAGTTTCAATTTAGTAAAATTTATTTTCAAACCAATGCATTCAATTTCAAATTCTGCACATTCAGATTCAATGTGAGCAATTCAAATTCACTTCCTGCTGGCACAAGATTTATCCCGTACGCGTCCAGCTCGGTGCTGCCCCGTCAGGTCTTAGTTCACACTCAGAACTTTCAGGGTTCTTTTGGTATTTTTTTTTTATTTTGGACCTTTAGGTTCCGGTACACCTTCGAGTTGTACCTGACTTCAGAGAAGCTGCACCTGTTCGGTTTGGAGACGGCGGACGAGCTGCACAGCTGGACCAGAGCCATCGGACAGGTCAGAACCTCCAACAAAGGTTCTGTTTGATGGTTGGTCTTCTGTCCCGTTAACTGTCATGCCCCCCCTCCCTCAGGCTGCCACGCCCCTCAGCTGTCACTGCCTGCTGACCCGGGAGTTCGAGCGGGTCGGACTCCTGCGGTACCGGGCCATGTTGGACCCTCAGCAGTGGAAGGAGGCTTACTTTGTCCTGCAGAAGTCCAACCTGTTCATCTGTCCCCGAAACGACGGAGCGGCCGAGGACATCATCAACCTGAACCGGCTGCAGGAGCTGAGTCAGTACCCTGGTCCTGGTTCTGGTTCTGGTCTACAGGTTGGACCGTTTCAGTGAAGCCCTGTGTTTGTGTTGAAGGTGTCACCTCGGAGAGCGAGAACCACGAGAAGAAAGACGTCCTGGTGCTGGTGGAGAAGGGCAGGTGAGACGGGTTTCTCTGTCTGTCGGTTCTGATGTTTCGTCTTCATCATCGGGCTCGTCTCCTCTTCAGAACTCTGCACCTGCAGGGAATGGGTCGGACCGACTTCTCTCTGTGGTACGCTGACGTCCAGCGGGCGGCCGGAGGAAAAGGAAACACGCTGAGGGAGCAGCAGCTGAGCAGGAACAACATCCCCATCATCGTGGACAGCTGCATCGCCTTCATCACACAGTACGGTGAGGAGGAGGAGCTTCACTAATGAGCTGAGGAGGAGGAGTTTAACCTCTGAGCAGAGGAGGAGGAGGTTAACCTCTGAGCTGAGGAGGAGGAGCTTCACTAATGAGCTGAGGAGGAGGAGTTTAACCTCTGAGCAGAGGAGGAGGAGTTTAACCTCTGAGCTGAGGAGGAGGAGCTTAACCTCTGAGCTGAGGAGGAGGAGCTTCACTAATGAGCTGAGGGGGAGGAGTTTAACCTCTGAGCTGAGGGGGAGGAGCTTAACCTCTGAGCTGAGGAGGAGGAGCTTCACTAATGAGCTGAGGAGGAGGAGGAGCTTCACTAATGAGCTGAGGAGGAGCTTCACTAATGAGCTGAGGAGGAGGAGGAGCTTCACTAATGAGCTGAGGAGGAGCTTCACTAATGAGCTGAGGAGGAGGAGCTTCACCAATGAGCTGAGGGGGAGGAGCTTCACTTCTGACCTGAGGGGGAGGAGTTTCAACTCTGAGCTAAGGGGGAGGAGTTTAACCACTTTCCTCTGAGCTGAGGAGGAGGAGTTTAACCTCTGAGCTGAGGGGGGAGGAGCTTCACTAATGAGCTGAGGAGGAGGAGCTTCACATCTGAGCTGAGGGGGGAGGAGTTTAACCTCTGAGCTGAGGGGGAGTTTAAACTCTGAATTTTACCAGAAAGGAGTTCATTACAACTGGTGTTTTTACACGGCTTCTGGTTCTGGTTCTGTGCAGGTCTGGGCCACGAGGGGATCTACAGGAAGAACGGAGCCAAGTCCAGGATCCGGCTGCTGATGGACGAGTTCCGTAAAGATGCTCGTAACGTCAAGCTGCGGATTGGAGACCACTTCATAGAGGACGTGACCGACGTTCTGAAGAGGTTCTTTAGGGAGATCGACGACCCCATCTTCATGGCCGAGCTGCACCCCCTGTGGCAGGAGGCTGCAAGTGAGTCCACCAGAGGTTCTGGTTCTGGTTCTTCTGGACTTTGGGCTTATTTTAAAAAATGTGTTTTTTTTAAATTATCGTATAAAAATTAAAGTATCCAATAACGATCTTTCAGAACTTCCTCAGAAGTCCGCCAGATTGGACCGCTACAAAGATATCATCCGAACCCTTCCCCGGGTGAACAGAACCACTCTGGCTGCTCTCATAAGTCACCTATACAGGTAAGCTCCGCCCACAGCAGCATCAGCACCGTGAGCCGCCGAGGTCTGACCCGTCCCCGCCCTCCGACAGGGTCCAGAAGTGTGCCGACCTGAACCAGATGTGCACCAAGAACCTGTCGCTGCTGTTCGCCCCGAGCTTGTTCCAGACGGACGGGAAAGGTGAGCACGAGGTGAAGATCGTGGAGGACCTGATCGATAACTACCTGTACGTCTTCGAGGTGAGGAAACCGGGACAGGTGGTTCTGATGGTACCGACCTGACGGGACGAGTCGTTCTGATGGTAGCAACCCATGTATGGGATAAATCTTGTGTCAGCAGGAAGTGAATTTGAATTGCTCAGATTGAATCTGATTGTTCATAAGTTGAAATTGATGCATTGGTTTGAAAATAAATTTCACTAAAGTGAAACTGAATTTAAAGTTTTGAATCTGAATTAATTTGCTTTGAAACAGTATTTTGGTTTATTAAAAATTCAGTTTGACTACTTTCACTTTCAGTTCCATAATTCAGATGTTTGTGTCACATCCTGGTCCTTSAGAAAGCCAGGCAGAGTAATCAAACACAGATCCACAGATTTATGTTTCACTTTGGTGAAGTTTCCCTTCTGTATGTAACAGAGTTGATGCAATCCACTGTAAAAGTGACAAAAACAGTTATTTTATTGCAGTGATTACCGTATTTTTTGGACTATAAGCCACACCCCC